AAATCTCATAACTTTTATCTTTACGTATTTAGCAGAAATATTATGTCACGAGATTGCCAAAGCTTACTAGATTACAGGAGGTTTTTAAAAAAATTTCGAGTATTTAAAAAAATATTTGTCAAAAATTCATCGCGCCGGCCTTCTTAAAGATTGCCACAAATCTAAAATAAAATATTTTTGTTCCATCTTCAAAAAATGGTATTTTGAGTTCTAGGTTGAAGTAAGAAAGTGGTACATGCTGCACCAGCCCCTGTTTTCTTGAATAAAAAGAACTCTAACTCACCTTCACAGCTCTCTTTTTTCTAGATAAAATTTTCATAAAAATCAAGCCTTGGCAATTCAAAAGATAAGATTAAAGATGAATAAATAGAATGAGCTACTCCTTGAAAATTAAAAACAAAATGTATATGGTCTTTCTAATGTGTAGGCAAGGAAAATAACAAAAACAAAAATAAAAAGAGTAAGTAACTACATCACAGTCTTCATCATAACCATGGCATTGGTTATAGCATTGGTAAATGTATAAGTAAAAACAAAATTTGCAAGATCTCAAGTTTACTGAACACTTAATGCTCTGATGTAATATAGTTTCATTCCATTTCTTTCTACTTTTCTTTTCAACAAGGTTAGTGAATATTGGCTGCACGCAAGATGTTCAAATAACAGTACTGTATTTCAATTAATCCCTACAATGAGGACGATATGACAATCATGTCATGAAAAAAATTTGGCTTCAGGAGTGGATGACGCAAACATGCCCACTTGGGAAAATTTGGCTGAAGGTCAAGGTGATGGGAATGACTCACGTGTACAAAGCTTTTGGAGGGTGATTAGATTCATTTGACATTTAGAAAGGGGCTTATACACTATAACTATCAATAAACAAGCGTGGAATGTACCATCCATGAGCTGTCACTGGAACAGTGCCAATTGAAGAGAGGACACTATTTCCACACTCAGGATCCTATTCCTGACTGCCATGACCAGCGGCACAGGTTGTATTACAAAAAATTATGTATTGCAAAAAAATAAAAATAAAATTAAAAAAATGACACAAACAACAAAATGTTGCTTATTGTTATAATCAATAAGCAACTATCTACCGAGATCATATGGAAGTCTGTGTAAGGAAAGGAGTCTATTGCCAACTCGATAAAGCAAATTAAATGACAAATATGGATATTGGAAAATGGCAAAAAAGCTAAAAATGCTTATGTAGAAAAAGAGTGAGAGTAAAAAAATAAAAAAAAAATAGAAAGGAAAGGCATGGAATCTTGTCACCACACATGAGTATTCATGTACGCCCAGCTTACCAGCCACAGACCGGTTAGAGTGGCCACTCAAGTAAGCCTACTGCCCGTAATTTGGGCCACGTGAAGACTGTGAAGCATCCAGATCCAAGGGGTTAATGAATACCACCACAGTCAATAATCAAATAACAACCAGTAGTCACCAAAATGTCAAGTGAATTTTGATTTAAAAATAAGTAAATAAAAAAAAGGAAAGAAAGCAGAAAAAAAAAAATGTATATTTTGCCTAGTCTACAAATAACCTTACCTCAAATGGTAGTCTAGGGGCTGATACTGGAAGGCCGTCCTTGCTAGAAAAAAAAACGGGAAAAAGAAAAAAAGACAATGAGATGATTTACCATCACACACAAACTATTACTTGCAAAACCATACACATATATCCATACACACACAAAAAAATTAAGAAGACCGTCCCTGTTGGTGGGGGGTGTGCGAGTCGGGAATTTTGGGTCGGAGTGGTTAAAAATGAGTCATGGTCAGTTTCATATTCGTATATGAGAGTAGAATTACCCACGTGAATATAAACCCAACAAAAAATTTAGGCAGCGAGTGAGGCCAGAAACCCGAGTCCCATTGCCGCTGTGTCAGTGATTTTCACCCTTCCGCACTCTGGCTGTACAGGAGCCAATATGATGCATTGTATAATGACAGTACCTATTGAACTAGATCAGAGGAAGATAAAAGTGTCTTATTATAACAGTTTCTTCCCAATGTTAAAGATTTATGATTTGAAAAACAAAGAAAAATTAAAAATCCTTACATGACTTTTCAAATTTCTTTCTATAAAATAAAGTAGACATAATTTGATTTTGACATATTCATCATATGAGTATATTTACGTATCTCCAAAATAAACTCACAACAAACAGATGTTTACACAGGCTGGGCGCTCGCCCGCATCAACGGCCGTCCTGGAGGGACGAGTTCCAAGCGTCGCCACAACTTTAGTCTTTTCTGATTGCAATAATTTTACGTATGCGCTTTCATTTGAAACTAAATAATCGGTTAAACATCATTATATCATTATAAATCCATTTTACAAAAAAAAAAAATCATTTGGGTATATGCGCATGTACAAATATACACGTGCACGAACATGTACCTTTAAAATAATTTACATGCGTATACACATGTAAACGAATGTATACACATGAAAACAGTAATAAAAGAGATATGAAACACGAAACAACTGATTTTATATGTCATATTGTCTTGGGTCTGGATTTGCCCCTTTTCATGGGAGTCATTTGTTTTTTTCTTTCTATAACTCAGAGACTAATGATCATATCTTTACCTAACAAAGTGCATTTGGAAGAGAAAAAGTAGTAGTTTCTACAGCAATGAAATGGTAAAGATTCATAAATGAAAAATATAAAAAATTAACTTCAAATATCCAACTTTTTGTTTGCTTGTTTTTCTATTCTTTTTCGAGCTACGAACATTTCCTTGACCCAGAGCTTTTATCCGATTAAAATTTTGGATATATTTTTGGAAACCTTGTAAAGGAAGCGCATTTTTTAAATTTTGCTTACTTTTTTATACAAATTTTTGAAAATCGAAAAAAAAAAAAAAAAAAAAAAGGTGAAAATGATTTTTCTTTATACTTTTTTTTCTGAGGATACTAATTCGAATTTCAAAAAAAGGCTTTGATATTGACTTGGGAATTCACTGATGTTCATTCACATTTTTTTTCATGACAATTCATAATCCTCTGGGACAAGAAAATGTTCACGTAGACACATGTGGAAAAAAAATTTAAAAACTTTTTATTTTGCGGGGGCCATCGCCCCCCATGTGGGAACCCCCATAAATGTGGTATCAAAAGATGCAGAATAGTAAAATACATCATATATCTAAAAATCAAGAAAATCCATGACCATTTATTTTATAGGGACTGTACCCCCCCCCCCATTTAGGGACGGTCCCCTTAAGTAACAGAACTATATATATAAGTTGAAAATAAATAAAATCAATTAATAATCTGACTTAACCTATTAACAAAATGAAAGCAAGTTTTGGAATAATAATAATAATGATAATCCCTATTATATCATGATTCACTTTTCTTTCTATCACATCTGTCATACATAAAATAAAGATACATGCGATAAAATATTAAGGCATGGGGTATCACTACTTCAACCACTGGAGTAACATAGATCAACTAAACTAATATTGTGCTAAAACAAACAGGAACTATTTACTTTTTATAATTTTTTTTTGTTTCACTTATTTCTACTGATCACTTACGGATTCCCTTCTTCTTTCGCCAAGATTTTGTATCTTTTCTTTTCAGCTTCGTCTAAACTGTACCAGTTGTTAATAAGGACCGAGAACAATTCTCTCTGAAAAAAAGTGATTGAAATAAGATAGGAAAGGAGAAAATAACAAGACTCTACTTCTCTATTATCATCCTGATTAATAACCAAAATGCATTTTTACACAAGATTTAAGGTCAACATTAATTTAAAATCCATAAAGTTTTTCATATCGCATTTATTTCAAACAAATTTTAAAAAGAAAACTTTAACAGAAGTTTCTTGTTGGACTTACACCACGTAGGTTTTCATTCTTGCCGTTTGTCTTCAGTGTCTGGGTGTGTTGCCTCATGAAATACTGGAATGCATTCAGATTCTTCTTCCGTAACCCTCCTGATCTGGTAAGTTGTTCTGCTTCTGTTAATATTTGTTCTAATGTTCTGAAAAAAAAAAAAAAAGGAAAAGCTCAGGATGATAATTTTGAAAATAACATATCATTCAAGCTCTTCCACTAAAGTATTAACAATACAAATGTAATACTATGACATACTTTATTTTATTAATGCTCTCAATAATCTCATGGAACTGTTCTTCACACTCTTTAGCAGACTTGTTGTCAAAGGCGATATCATTCCAGTTCCATTTTGGGCCTGCAAGTCTTCTTCTGTAACTGATTTTGTCATTTGGCTGCAGCTTTTCTTGCATTCTTGAAATCAGCATCAACTTCTCCTCAGGCGTCCATAAGTCAAGTGGCTCTGGAAGGTAGTAGATGAGAATGTTATTTAAAGTGTTCTATTTTTGGTGAATATAAATATAGTTGTCTACCACATTAATCCTGAATTCTATTTCCACAAACTACGAGGTAAAATAAAACCATTTAGGTACAAGGTGATAAAAATCAAGTGTTTGCAACATACCAGCTTCATTAGCATTAATTGGCTCTTTTTCCTCATCATCTTCATCCACAACAGCCTCCTTCCTTTCTTTCTTAATCTTCTTTGGTGAAGATTTTACCTCCGATGGGTGTGTCCGTTTCTTGGGAGACTTCTGAGAATCTGTCAAATTCTCACTGTCATTCTGAAAAAACAAAGAACAATTTTCAAGCAACAAAATAAAAATATCTAGTTATTACTAATCCAAAATTGTGTTGAAATACCACTTATCAAGTTAAATGGTATTCTGTTGACAAATGAAAGACAAGGCACTTAAACCCCTGCATTCACTAAATATTGGGTTTGCTTCCCTCAAGTAGCTACTTGTGATGTTACACAATGCTCTTTTTGGTAATTTTTATTTTGGCAAATCTCCATGGTCCAATGGTCTTTATTACAAAAATATGGAAAATGAATTTTAGGCCAACTTTGGAATCTAAACAAACATGCACAAAGAACATTTTTGTGATGTACAGAAATCTCATGCATTGGCAAAGCAG